TCCACAACATCGTTTATATGCACTCACACAACAAACACAAAGTCGTCGGGTTCTCATTCATTCGTTTACAAAAATGAAGTTTAATAATGATATTCTTACGACTGATATTGATTTAGTATTGATTAATAGTGATGCAATGAGCGATGCTCATACTGATCGACTATCAAGTATTACAGTCATACCTAATAATATTGCTTATATTATTTTCACAAGTGGCTCAACTGGAATACCAAAAGTGGTATGTTGACATTTGTATTTCTACCTCAGTTTCTATTGTCGTATATTCTGACAGATTCAAGCACGCCATGAAAATTTCATTCATTTCATGAATTCATTAGTCAGGATCGACGTATTCAACAAAGATGATATTGTAGTTCAGATTGGACGTTGTTCATTTGACATTCATGTTCAAGAAATACTTGGCACTTTAATGCATGGAGCTACTTTGGTAATGGTTCATCCAGGGGGAACAATCGATTTTGACTATCTCTCCAATACCTTGCGGGTGAAACAAATTACATATATGTTCATGGTTCCAAGTTTACTTCAAAGCTTTTTCACATTTATCGCACAATCTAGCAAGACAGCTACTTCAAAATATTTTCGATCACTTTGTAGTGGTGGTAGGTAGCTTAGGGATGAACTTTAGCATATTGTTATGCTTTATCTATCTTTCTAGGCGAACCATTCTCTGTTCAATTAAGTATTCTAATCGCAAATAATAGTATGTCAAAATATAATGTATGGAATTACTATGGTCCTGCAGAAATAACAATCGCCTGCACACTTCATCTTATTGATGTTAAAGCTAGTTCTAGAAGTATTCCAATTGGTAGATCACTTCCTAACTATTGCTGCTTGATTTTAAATAAATTTTTACAAAGTGCATCTGTTAATCAAGAAGGAGAATTATTTGTTGGAGGTATGAGTGTCTTTGCTGGTTATCTTAGACGTGATGATTTGACTGCAAAAGCTCTTGTTCAGATAGATAGTCAAGTATTTTATCGAACCGGTGATCTTGTTAGAATAGATAACAGTGGTCTTCTTCATTATCAAGGAAGAAAAGATTATCAAATCAAACTTCATGGACAACGTATTGAACTTGGTGAAATCGAACGATGTTTACTTAACATCACATCGATACCTGCTTGTGTTGTCATGAAATGGAATGATGATTATTTAGTTGCTTATGTTCAATCTTATCACATCAATGAAGAACAACTACGTCAACATTGTCAATCTCATCTTCCACCACATATGATTCCATCAATATTCATTATTCTTGACAAGTTACCGTTGAATCCAAATGGAAAAGTAGACAGAAAACAACTTCCTTCATCCGACTTCTCTCTATCGACTTTGTTATCGTCTGATAAATCTGATACT